AAAATATGCCGTCGATTCCAACAGCTCCCGGTGGTTCTAGAAGTCGTCCTCGTAATCGTCGTCCTCGTCCAACTTCATCTCAAGCTGAGGCGGGATCATCAACTGCCGTCGAAAGCGAAAACAGACACACATCAGACGTTTGGGCGCATTTCGACAAGTTTTACGAGACAGAAAATGGCGTTCAAGTCAAGAAAGCAAGATGCAAATATTGTGCAAATGTTTATAAAGCTGATTCAGGTAATGGTACTAGTACTTTAAAAAGGCATGCTAATAAACATATTAATCAACATGGAAATAGAGAAAGCAATCAAACTCAAATAACTAATATGGGTACTACTTGGCGTTATAATTCTGATGTATATAGGGAACAGTTAGCTTTATATATTGCTGCATCTGATCAACCTATTAATATGGCAGAAGATAAATATTTTGAAAGATTTGTTCAAAATTCATTTTTTCCAGGATTTAAAAGTTATTCTAAAACTGCAACTAGAAATGATTTAATAAAATTGTTTAAAAAAATGAAATTAGAATTAAAAAATAAATTTCATACTTGTCATATTAGTGTGGCTTTAACTGCTGATATTTGGAGTGGTAGAGCTAAACAAGATTATATTTGTGTGACTAGTCATTATTTTGATAATGAATTTAAATTAAATAAATCTTTATTAGGATTTAGATTAATGGATGTGGATCATAGTGGTTTAGAAATCTATAATAAAATTATTGAAGTTTTAGAAGATTATGATATTATTGATAAAGTGATAAGTTTAACTTTAGATAATGCAAGTTCTAATAGTAAAGCTATAGAATTTTTTCAAAATAATTATCTTTTATATAATAATTTGAAGTTTTTTCACCAACGTTGTGCATGTCATGTTATTAATTTAATTGTGAAAAGTGGTATGAAAACAATTAAAAAAAATATTGATAGAATTAGGGAATCTTTAGCTTGGATTACTAGTAGTAATAAAAGAAATGCTGAATTTCAAGAAGCTTGTATAAAATCAAATATGTCTCCTAGAACTTTTGCATTAGATATGCCTGTTAGATGGAATAGTACTTATTTAATGCTTGATTCATGTTTACCTTATGCTAATATAATTAGTTATTTTGTAGCAAATAATAGAGGTCCTCATCATTTGGTAGAAAATGATTGGAAGATAGCTAAAGTATTTCATTCTTTTCTCAAATGTTTTTACCAAGCCACTTTACAACTTTCTGGTGTGTATTATCCTACTAGTCCATTGGTAATACATGCAATTATAAAAATTTCCGAGTTATTTACAAAAAACAAAGATGATGAAATTTTACATGCACCAATAAAGGCAATGGAAAAAAAATTTTTGAAATATTGGAGACCCGTTCCTTTTCTTTATTGTTTAGGTGCTATATTTGATCCTAGAATTAAATTAGCACGTTTAGAAAATGGTCTTGACAATTTAAGTGAAAATTTACAAACCGAATCATATATCAATCAAATAGGAGAGGTAAAAAATAGTCTTTTCGAAGTATATTTCCAATATGAAAACAGGTATGGGAACCCGCAGTCGCAAAGAGGCGAAATATCCAGAGAAGCTGTAGCAGAAGAAACAAATGAAGACTTATTCTCTTGGAATGCACTGAATAGGCCGAAGAGGACCCGAGTCCGAAGCACAGCCTCCTCTTCAGACGCACCACCACCAACAACAACAACAACTAATATGCTGTCCTCCATGGAGTCGCAGAGTAATGAACTTCAACAATATTTGGCAACCCCCGAAATGTTTTCAACAGGTCACTTTGATATCTTAGAGTATTGGAGAGCCAGAAAATGTATTTTTCCGGTATTATCAAGACTTGCCTTGGATGTTTTCGCTGTTCCTGTCTCAACCGTCTCATCCGAACAAACATTTAGTGCAAGTGGAAGGATTTTAAATGAAAGGAGGACTAAACTTGCTCCAAAAATGATTGAAGTCCTCACATGTCTTCGAGATTGGGAACGATCGCGCCATCAAGATCAATACGAGGTTATCGACAATACTTTAGTAGAATCATTTCAATTTTGTAATATAGATGATACAGATGAGGGAGGTCCTAGTGAACCACCCCCAAATTAGTTGTTTTGTAAAATGTAATTTGTAAATTAATTGTCAATCATTGCACTCTTTTTTCTTTACCAAGTTTTTCTCCCATTGGGTTTTTCTTGGTGAGATTTTTAACGAGGCAATAATTGTTGTAATTTCTTATTTTATTTTTTGATAAATGAATAAGTCTAATTTTTCTTATATTACAATTTTTTGTATTAAAATTGAATTAATATTTGAAATGTTAACAAAAAAAAAAAAAAAATGAATTGAATTATTGATGTTTGAAAAGTTAACTAAAAACAATTATATTTATAAATATTTATTTGAAAAGTTAAATTAAAAAAACAAAAAAAAATAAGAAAATCGGGCTAACCTAGCCCGGACAGCGCCTAACGCGGTGGGTTAGGGTTGGCGGGTCGGGCTAGGCCAGCCATTTTCTCCAAAATGGCGAGTCGGGCTAGGCCAGCCATTTTCTCCAAAATGGCGGGTCGGGTTTTTGGCGGGCGGTTTAGCCTCGGTCCGCCAACCTTCGTAACCCGCCGCGGGCCGGGCGGGTTACTTTTCCACCTTTAGTGATGGGTTTGTCTCCCACTCAGCGTATTAAGGTGAGCCGAGTCATAGGGTGTAGCTTGGTGATTGCTTAACAGGGTGTTGGGTTCTCCGTTCATCCCTTCAAGATAAGTCATCTTGAGTGTAACACTTTGAGTGCTTTTGCCAACATGGATGGTGAGGAGGGTAATTTGGGGACCACTCGACCCATGAGGGTGAGTCCAGCTGAGTGGCGTTTGGTACGGGTGACTGCTCGACCCATGTAGAAGAACCAAGCTAGGTGGGACTTAGAGATAGGGTGGATCACTCACGTTGATGGCATGTTTGATAGTGGTGATATTCTGTTGTTGTTGTTGGTTGGGGATGGTTTGAGTAATTTGGTCACGGGTGATTGATGGGTCGGCTGATAAGGGACGTGTTTGCATGGCTGGGTTAGTTGTGTTTGTAATAGTGGGGATCGGGCCATCCATTAAGGATGATTGGAGCTGGGAAGACTGAGGGTTTGAAGCCGAGGATGTGGGGTCTGGGGTCATGAGAGGTTACATGGAATTTACTGGGACACGAAAGCGGTTCTCTAGTATTTGGTTAAGTGGGAAGTCAAGAGTATAAAACTATGTTACCTTTTCCCGTAGGTTTTGGTTCTCGGCTCGAATGTGGGTATTCTCAGCTCGAATGTTGACATTCTCAGCTTTCAATGTCGTGACCTAGTCGACGTGTTGCTGCACTAATGCCGAGAGAGCCTCAACCTTAGCCATGAGGTTTGCTGAGGTAGTGTCTATGGTTTCAGTCATGATGCGATTCTCTATAGAGTAGGATGCTGAACGAGAGTGGATTGCCAAAGGCCCCACAGTGGGCGTCAAATTATAGACGGTAAAATCTATAGTTACAGAAAGAGGTATGATCCTGTGAGGTTGAGACCACTAACAATCTGCTGAACCTGCACTCAAAGAAAACAAGTGCGAAGCTTATGTAAACACTAATGTGGTGTATGTCGTAGGCACTCCGACGCTCAAGTCAGTAAGGGGAATGAGACTTATTTAGTGAGGGTTAAGGGAAAGAAGGATTACCGAAATTTTAGTTGGAAACTAGAACTACGGCGTAGGTGTATAACTCTTAGGAGCAAGAATTTAGGAGCTAGTAGGTGGTATCGAGATTCATTGCCTAATGAAAGGCATGACCTCTCTTTATATAGTGGTCATCATAGTAGGACTTTGAATCTATAATGGCAAAGTTCTAGTAAATAGGAAAGACCCTGGTTTACTTGCCTTTGTAGGGTTCAGAGTCCTAATTCACATAAGATACAGGATCTTGAGTGAATTAGGATAAACCCCAAATAGGAAATAGATGTATTAGTATTTTAGTGGGATTATGGGCCCTTAAAGGATATTATGCAGCAATGGGCCTGGCCGTAGGTGGGCTAATGGTGATGCCCAATATGGAGAGAGGTCGAGTTTAGACCGTGGGTCTAGCCCAAGACATGAACTTCGACATAGGCCCAACCGGAATTGGGCCACAACCTTGGGCCTACATAGTAGAATTACTTGCTTGGGACTGATAAAGCTAAAGACGATTTTTGGCCCATACAAAGTTTAAATTAATAATTATGATTAAAAATTAATTTTACTTAAGACTATAATTCCTCGTTTGAAAGTTGAAAACCATAATTTCATAGATTATTCATTGGATTATTTACCTATATAGAGAAATACATAAGTGGCTTTTAAATACATTTGCTTAAATATTTCTGATGCATATATCCACTCTTCAACACATTAGATTTTTTAATTTAATACTCAAATAATCAAAAGATGTTACGAATGTTTTAATAACCAATTCGGGGTAAAATCCGGTAAAGTGGTCGGCTCCTAGGTTGAACCAGTTCAATCAATTCGTTCAATCAATGATGTCATCATGATGATATAAGTAAACAAAAAAATCTTTAAACTCCTATAAAAACATTCACTTTAGGCATCACAAACCATACAAAATAATCAATCGAGAATCTTTAAAGTCCATAAAAGTATAAAAAACCAAAATTTAACTATCCAATAAAACCAATCCACCAAACCAATAACACCTCCAACATCATACTGTCGATACTGAACAGCTTTTGTTGAATATTTTTATAAAGAGTAAACGACTATTTCCCACCCAAGGTTTGCCTTATTGATACTTGTTCATCCAAAAAGTTTTAAAAAACCAAATTATTACCCACAATGAATTTCCGTCAGTAAATTTAGTTATAGTAAATTTAGTTATAAAGAAGGGTAAGATAGTCAAAAGTCATTTGTAAGTAAGGGTAGAATAGTTTTTTTATTTTTAAATAAAAATTTAAAATTTAAAATTTAAAATTGAAGTGGTGTGCTAAGGCGTTGACACCTATCCTACGTTGTTGAACTTAGAAAGAAAGCAAAAGAAATGATAACTTTTGCTTTTTCTGGAAGCGGCGACTTTTGGGTGTTGGCTAACGGCTTCAACTGCATTCTGGTGATTGTTTACGGCGACCGGTGAGTGTTAATGACGAGTTAGACTGGTAGGGTGGACCTGTGGTTGGCGATTTTGGAGTTTTGGGTTCATTTACAGTGTTGACGATAAGGGTTTGGGGTTGTTATTAGAGAGTTTTTTCAGCGAAGGGCATGTTTTTTTGGCGAACGGCAAGTTCTTTGGTGGCTTCCAATGACAGTTGGTCTACTGACTCATGGCTTTCGAAGTCGTTCACCGTTGAGGCGGGTAACGATAAGGTTTGCGTTTGCAAGTGGTTGAACTTGTGGAGGACTGGAAGTAGTCATCTTTTTTGGAACCTTTGTTGTTTTCGTGTACTGTAGGTTGTATGGAAAAACATGTGGTTTTTGTTTTGTTCTTTCGTTTGCATGACAAGAAGATTTGTTTGTTGTTTTTGTGTACATAGGGTTAGTGCTTTATGATTCTCATGGTATATTTTCAGGTTCTTTCTGGTATGGGATCACAGTCACAAAATGTTGTTCATGTCCTCGCTGCATTAAGAAATTTCACAATGTCTCAGAAGGAAAAAACTTTGGATGAGCTGGTGCAGGACAATTGCCTTCGTTACATAGAAGATGATAAAATAGGACTTGGTGTCAGGTATTGCCTTGATTTGCGGAGTTGGTTTTGCAATCTGGATGTTCCTTCCTGTGAAGTGTGCAATGAAGTTGTACTGAAGGTTGTATTAATTGTTTCTTTGCCACTCTACTTTCCAGATCTGATTGATGTTTGTTTAGTGCAAAGTTTTATTTTTATTTTTAATTTGATTAGTCCATATGATTATTTTACCCAATTAGCTTATTCGATACCCTTAAAGGAAGTTCCTTCTAGGCTGTTCTTGATGCTTTATCAAAAAACATAATTAAGTTTGTAACGCTTCCAGCTAATATAGTATAGCTTTTAGACGGGTTAGTTAGTTGGAGGTTAAGATATATTTAAAGATATGCTCATATGCATGGTATCATAAATAAAATGTAATGCATAGTTCTTTAAATTTGTCGGAGGACTTGAGGATTTAAACATCAAACTGATGGATTAGTCATAGTTTTAAGCTAAGTTGCTGAATCATTGTTTACTGACTCCATTGATACTTTGTTCTAATTATATTTGACAGGGAGAATTGTGCCAAACCAAAGGTTGCCTCTCTTGAATTCATCACTACTGCGTGAAGAACAAAATAGGGTATAAGTCTTGACACATTCCTTTGTCTTGTGTATTGTATAAACAGATTTCTTGAAGATGAATTTGCTAACTGAATTTGTTTCAGGGCGAAGTAGTTTGTCCAAGTTGTGCCATGCATTTTACACTTTTTTTTGCTATATTGCTGATGTTGAGCTCTTTTATGAGCCTTGGAGATGCGTAGTGATTCTTCCGTATGTGTGTGAATGAATTATGCCAATTGCTTCCATAGAGGATGAAGTCTGGGTAATCATTGTTTGTTGCATGATATTGCTGAAATTTGAAATAATGGTTTTAATTGATTTTCTTGAATTTGCAGCTGTATAGGTAGTATACATAGAAAATATAATTTTTCTTTTGATGGTATATCAATTTCCTTGTAGCAACTCATTTCATCTTAATATCAAGTTTCAGCCACTTGAGTTATTTATATTGATGGCAATATTCTGGTTCTGAATGCAAACTCTTCTATTTTGATTACTCTATAGTAACCTTGCTGTAAGGGTTAGGCAGAAATAATAATAACCTTTGATTGGATAGTCAATAAGACTATATAATTATTTTGGATGGGATTGTGATTGGGTTTGGGAGTGTAGATTAGATATGATATGATCTGAGTTGTGTGGAGTACTTTCTTTATGTTACGATGTGTTATTGAACGGAGTTATAATGATATGGTCATGCATTTGATACAATATGAGGATCCTTTTGGCTGTATAATTTGCTTATCAAACAGTAAATTAGTAAATCACAATGCAAAATTGTTGTAGAGTGCAGACATGTATTGTTATTTAAGTTGTATCGTCTGTTCCAAGCTGCACTCGTTTTCGTAGAGGTGAATTCGAGGTGGTTCTGAGTGAAAAATGACTTGTTTTTGTTGGAATTTTTTGTGTAAAGATGGTTAATTATTTGTATACCATATGTATTATAAGTTTGTGAAAATTCTAAGAGGAAGTTATTGAGTTAATCTGTTTTAGGTCATAACCATTGGACATCATCAAGGGTTTGGAGTATAGGAAGCACCAGAATTAAAGCCTCGTGTTTATTAACCATGTTTGTTACCTGCAAGGCCACAACAGATCGAATACTGGTTATATTTTTGCTCTATGTATATATTACTGATCATAGATTTATGATGGTGGCATGTAGGGAGATGGAGACTGAATTGGCTTTGATGGCCGTGTTTGGTTCATTATTATTATCCATATTCTGGATCTGATTTTTCAAATAATGTTTGGCATATTATTCTAGAAATATTAGCCTATTTTTTTAATAACTTTTAGACCCTATAAGGTTATTAATTTCATTAAATACTCCTTGAAAAAAAAGTTTAAAAATTAGCAAAAACACCCCTGCGACCCATACTTGCCAGATTCCGGCAACCACCATCGGTGGTAGTTGGAATCTGTACAACGGTCTACCTGTCGACCAGAAATGGTTGGAAGTTTACCGATCTGGCCATTGTTGACTGAAAACGACGGTCACATCTTTGGTAGTGGTTTTGGCCTTTTCCGACCGTCGCGGCCACAGTAGGCCGTAGATCTGGCCTTTTTCAGTCGGATCCGTGGTGGATCTGGCCAGAAAAGGCCATAACGACGCATTACGACACAGATCCGACTGGTCTGTGTCGTAACGCGATTTTTCGGTCAGATTTCGACAGTGGTGGTTGGAATCTAGCACTGCAGGTGGTGGGGGTGTTTTTGTCATTTTATATATTAGGGTGTTTAATTAAATTAGCAAATTTAGGGGTTTTTTCATAAATTTTTAAATTTTACCTTGTAATACTCCCTTATCCAACTACCCAATATTATTCTCAAAATCCTATCTAAAATAATAAACCAAACGCACCCAACATTTTTGAGTGAGAATTGTGACAATGACAATTAATTGGCTTTAATATTTTTTTAATGAGATTTGTGACAATGACAATGAAACGATTTTAAATCCATTTTGTGATTAAAATCTGCTTGTTTATTTACCCAGATTGAAGATATTTGTATTGTATTCCCAAATTTTTTTTTTTTTTTTTTTTGGGTTTTAATTCAAGGAATTGCATTGTGATTTTCAAATCTGCACTCTTGCTAGGTTTTAATTGATAAAATTCATTATATAAATGTGAGTTTATTTTGCATCAAACATAGGGACAAAACGGTAATATTATTTGCTTCAAAATTTTAAAATCTCCAGGGTTATTGATCGATTGTTAGCATTAGAGACAAATTGGTAATTGACCTTTCCACATAGTTAGGGGTATTTAGTAATTACACAATTAAAAAGGGTATAGCGATAATTGGTTTCCTTGACATGACATATACTAATAAAAAAAAAAATTCCAATCAAACTGTTAAAAGGGCATTTCTATCTTTACAGTTAAAATCACTGTATTTAATAGAATTTACTAATGGAGTATAACGTTTGGGTGATAATTTGGTATTTTGAAACTTTTTGGATGTGAAAGTGTTATTAAGGCAAACCTCGGATGGGAAATAGTCGTTTACTCTCTTTATAAAATCACCTGCTCAACGAAACACCTTGAAACAACTGCAAACCCACAAGCAAAACATCAAATTAAAAAACAAAATCAGAACTTCAATAAACATAAAAGCTAGCATATAACAAAGCATTACTTGGTGGGGTCAAACCCAGCTCGAAGAGCAAGCCTTAGTTCATTCCCACTCGAGTAATGCTACATTCATAACCTTTTCTTATGAACTTCATCTCACAATCCCAATGTGACAGTTTTGCAATTGGTCAGTTCTATTAGGTCTCACCTATGCCTCATCTGATAAATTACAGTTGACTAATTACGAGTTGTCATATAAAAATTATGAAAGAAAGATTTTGAGAAGAGATTGTGAGTGTAGTATTACTGTTCCCACTCACAAGAACAGCTCCACAGCCCAACTTTCTCAAATGCTCTAAAATCTTGTAATTATTGTTAGCCTTAATGGCATTACCAATAATTGAGTTCAGCCAAGAAAGAGCTTCTTTATAAGCCTCAACATTTCTAGTGATTTGTGGCTTATTGTACAAATAAAAAGGTCTTTTTTCAACAGTTTCCTTAACATCTTGAATTTTAACATCTTCACAGTAGAGAAAGCTGTGAAACAGTGCTCAAATGGGTTCGTTTAAGTGAGGGGTTTTGTGGGGTTCTTAGACAGTACTGCCTAAAGAGTGAAGGGTTTAGGGGTTGTTCAAAGGTTGAACGAGGATTTGAGGGGTAGAATGGGGAATTTAGTAAATGGATTTTGGGTTAAGGTNTGTTTACCAGCGTCGGACAGAGGAGATGAGCCGACAAGGAAGTTGACTGATAGAGATTGAGAGGCGGAGACTTGAGTTGCTGAGAGTTGAGAGATGAGATGCGGCCGCGATAGAGTAACTGAGATCTGAGACTGAGACTGAGAGTGAGAGATGAGAGGCGCGCATGATAAAAATTAAAATTAGGGATTCATTTCAAATTTGGAAAAACGGGTACCCGCGGGTTCACTTGTATAACCCGTCAGTTATACGGGTCGGGCCGGGTACAGGTCTAAAAAATTGGGTATAATAGTTTGGACTCGTACTCTATATTTTTTACTCGAGTACGGGCTGACCCGCAGGTCCAGACCCGTTTTGCCAAGTCTAGTCACTGATCAATTTTTAGCATTAGAGCACTGTTTTAAAAGTCGGACCGGACCGGCCGGTCCAACCGGTTGGACAGTGAACCGGTCACTTGTCCGGTTCGGTTTACCCTCAAACCCGTTAATAAGTATTAAGCCATTTTAAACCGGTTGAAAACTGGATAATATAAGTGAACCGCCGGAAAAAATCAGTCCACACTTTTAATCCCTAATACGCGGCGCCCATCGTCTTCTCTCACGCAGCCCATTCTTCTCTTCTTCTCAGTTCTCTGTCACGCATCGTCGATTCGTCGCAGCCTTTCTTCTCTTCTTCTCTGTCACGCAGTATCATAGCCCCTTCTCATCTTCTTCTCTTTCAGTTTTTCTCACAAAACTCTCACGGTTTCGGCTATCTTCTGTTCTCTCTGAAATCCCACCCAAATCGCATCTAAACTCGCCGGAAATCAACGATGACGTCTTCCTTCCTCGTCGAAAATCGACGACATCTTCCTCCCTAGCTGGAAATTGACGGCGACAGCTCCATTCGTCGATCCAGGTAATGCCATTCCTCGCCGGAAGTTGAATTTTTAGTTCATATTTCATGTGCACATATCTTAGACAGCTTTACTCGCCATAAATGTTAATCCTAGATTTGAAGTTAATGGTTAAGTTGTATAATCAGTGGCGTTAGTGCATTTTTTTTAGTTTAAGAGAATTTGAATGATTAGGTCGGGTGAACATCCAGTGATAAACCATGGATCTTCTTATAAATGGTTTATTATGTTAATAAAAAGGTAGATTGGAAAGCCGCATTCACCCCCAAGTCCCAAACATTTGCTCTTTTTCTATGATTATGCTATTATAGTGATGATTGTTGAGCACTCTCCTGGTATCTCCATGACACAGTTTTAGGTGTCTTTATAGCTAGAGGATTTGGTTTGTTACTGTTTAATTTCTCCCCTAATATCTACCTACTGTTATTGAGTGTGTAAGAGGATTTTTGACGTAAACATCTAGTAGATTTGGAGAAATTGAATAATATTATAGTGGAAAGCTATGATTTAATAGAGGATAAATATAACTGGGGTCATTTTAGACAATAGTTATGTTGTATACATTAAGGGAGAATGTTGTTTTAATTTGCAAGCGGGTCGACTATGAATGCTCTATATTCTACCATAAACTCTAATTGATGTTGAATCTAACTGCCATGTTCCTTGCTTTGGTACACTGCCAATGCGGTATTTGTTGAGTTTAGGACAATTTGGTAGGTTCTAGATTTGCTGCAGTGGCATATAGTAGTTATTTGTAGATATAGAAAAGGATAAGTATGGGGTGCTAACTTTGAAGGTGAGTCTAATCAATGAAAATTTGAGTTTGAGACTTCTAAGATATCTTGTAAGCTTGTGATTACTTTTACTTATCTACTGCTGCCGCTTATAAAATTTCGCATTGGGGTGATATCAAATGCATTATGGTTGAGTTGACAAATTGTCATTGTCTTTCGAGTGAAGGGCTAGAAAGTAGAAACGACATCTTGTTGGTCTGATTTCTTGATCTCTTGTTTAGATGTGTATTCAAAAAGTGTTTTTAATTGAAATTCGGCTAACCTTAATTGTAGTGTTAATCCATTTAATTTTCATAATTTGACATGAGGATAGCATGAGTAATTTAAAACTTAAGAAAAATGAGTTTGACTAAATAAAAGCTATGAAGCAGTTGTGTCACTGTCAATGTGATAAGATGAAGGCTCTTTATTATAAATAAAACGTAATTTTTCATTAGAATATAATAAAACCCATTACACTTTTGAGCTATGGTCACAAA